GTGTTTGTTACCTGCCCAGGTAAAATACGGACCCAACCGGTGCTGGTGCTGAGCAGGACCCAGCCGGTGCTGGGAAGGATCCAGACTTTTGCCGGCTGCGAAGCCGACGTTCCCGTTGCGAGCCTCAGAGCCGTGGGAGGTGCAGGATGTCGTCAAGTTTTGGATGTGTGGGTTGTTGGGATTTTGGGGGGGGGTTTTTTGACAACCGTGCCCACGGCAAACTTGATCCTACTTTTCTGCCTTGCGGATCAAGGCCGGGCAGGGCTTTCCCCCCTCCGGCAGGAGAGGGATGGAGAAGGATGGAAAAGCTTTGCTCGGAGCCCGGGTGGGTGCTGGAGGAGGGGAGGGGGGTATTGCTGAAGGGCCAAGCTCACCGGTGAGAAGAGTTCAGCCCGGTCTTGGGTACCTGGCAGAACCAGGCGTTGGTGTCTGGGTCAGGGCAAGAAGGAGAGGATGAACACGGAGGTCGCTGCTGCGGTTTCTAACTTGGATTGTGAAATTTTGGGATCGCGGTGCGCTCTGGAGGGTGTCTGCACGGCACGGGGCCGTGCCCGCGTTGCTCCAGGTGCTCTGGGACCAGCAACAAGGGGTTCCGTGGGAGCCGTTTCAGGCCTTGGAGGGTCACGGTGCCAAAAGAGCAGCGAGGTGTCAACCCCCCCGCTAAGGCTGGGGGGAGGGCCCCCCTCTTCCAGCGGGGACACGAGGCTTCGCTGCCTGCATCGAGCCGCTTGGACTCGATGGTCTTAAAGGTCTTTTCCAACCAAAGTGATTCAATGATTTCATCATTCCCCCACGCAGGAAGAGGTATCCCGGGCTCTGCAGCAGCTCGCGAGGGAAGCGGAGCTGCCCCGAACCTCCAGCGGAGGGATGCTGCGGCGGGCGGAGGGGCCTCGGCACCCCCTGAGCCGGGCTCTGCCCAGCCTCCAGGTCTCCAGGGAAGAAAAACCATGGAGGCTGGCGCTGCCGGCAGCGGGAGAGCAGTGCCTGGCCCCTCCTAATCCCTCGGATTTGATTTCCCAGGAAGGGATTTGAAAGGCCGGTCGGGGGGGACGGCAGCGCGCCTCAGCGAAACGCTCGCAGGGAAGAGCTTAGGTACCAGCAAATGCGATAAATCCCTTCCCCGAGCGCCTCGCCCCTTCGTTTGCTCGCTGGGGAAAGGCTGATGCTGCTTTGCTGGTAGGAAAACACCGAATTTAATCCCTGTGTGCTGAGCGCTGCGGCCGCTCGGTGTCTCCCTGGGTGAGGCTTTGGCAATCTGGTTCAGCTGCTGCTTTATAGGGCGCATGAGAAAAGGCTGGGGGGGAAGCTTTCAAAGAAATGGAAAATTGGGAATTATTTCCAAAAGAAATTGGAAAGAAATGGAGGGGTTTTAAGAGGGATGTTTGCCCTGCTGCAGGGAACGGCGGTCCTGGAAACGTCCGTAGTTTTGTATTGAAAAACCCCACCAGGAAACACTGGAAGAACTGGGGCCTCTAAACTGGGCTCAGCAGTTTCCCAGGGCAGGAAAGGCGGCTCTGTGGGTAAATCTGTGGGTAAATGGGTGCGAACCCATTAAGCTGTCAGCGTGGATTTCCAGCGCTGAACAGCAAAGCGTCCCTTAAGCTGAGCTCAGTCCGTACGTGACACGAGCTCAGCACGTTCTCAGCCAAGACTTCACCCGGTGTTTATCCGTCGCATGCCGAGGTTTGCGTCCGAGGAAGGCGGGCGGGGGATGAGCGGGCACCTCCCAGCCTTGCTGTCGTTTTGGGTTAGTGCCTTTAGGAAAGCCCCCTCCTCCTGCCGGGCCGGCGTGGCCCTTGCCAAGGGGTCCCCCGGCCCCGTCAGCGCGGCTGCTGTGAATGCGCTGCAGTTCCTGCCTTTGCCTGTTAAATCCAAGCCTGGGTGGTCGGGGGGGGTGTTGGTGACCCCCACAGTGCCTGAATCTGTGAGCACCCCGGTGAGCTGACACCCAAATATCGCCTCACCGTCCAGCTGAGGCATATCCAGCTCTTCCTCGGGCTTTGGGGCTCTGCGAGGGGGTTCAGGGGGGCTCTGATGGGGATGGAGGGGAGATCTTAAGCGCGGTGCTGAGGATGGGTCCCTGGGCTTGGGGTTCGGGGGCTGTGGGATCGCGCCGGCAGACCGTGGTCCGTGATCTCCTGGTGCAGATGCCAGGTGGCAGGGGGGTGCTCGTTGGATTTGCTCGTTGGGTGTTTGCGGGGGATCCCAAACCCCCTTTGCATAGCGGGAAGCAGCTGGCTTGGATAAAACCCCCTTGGGCACCGCACGGTGCCTGCGCTGGGATGGGCTCGGAGGAGCAGCTTCCTTACGTTTAGGATGGATCTCGCCTTCGCCTCACCTGGGAAAACCCCTTCGGGGAAGAAGGCGATTGCGCTTTCCCGCTGTGGGAATCGATTCCTGGGGAACGGCACCATCCAACCCTGCAGCCAGCCAGAACCCGGGCTGCTCCTCTCACCCGTGGCCACGGCGGAGCCTCCAGCACCCTGGGGTGAGGCTGAGGAGGGAGGGAGGAGGCAAAGGCGAGAGCTGAGCTGGAAAAGAGATGAGAAAAGCAGCAAAAGGGCTCCTGGAGGGGAGACGTCCACGCAAAGCCCGACTGAAAACGTCACCCATTAAATGGCCCCGGGGTCAACGACGCGGCTCTGCGTCGGCGCGGCCACGCTCCTGGCTCCCCAGGGCTTCTCAGTCCCTTCTTTCGCTCCTCCGATAGCGGCTGCCATGCTTTAGCGTGCCTTTGCTCTGCGCCGGGGGGGGAACCGCCGAGGCCAGGAGCGATGGAGGGGGAGCAGCTATTCAGCACCCCTGCTAAAAAATCGACCGGCAGCTCTTTGTTCATTTTTTTCCCCGTTCCCCTAACTCGCTGTCTCGCGCGTTGCAGGCCGTCCCGCTAGCGGGGAGCGTTTGCCATGGACAACGGTCACGTAAGCAGATACCGCTTAAGCGGTGAGTACCC